GTCTACATCAAAACAAACGCAAACACTTCTGAGACACAAATCACAACAACCTTCTCAAACACACACCCCTCCATCCCCAGCACCTCGACATCTCCCAGTTCCACTGCCTCCTTCACTTCAAGCCTACCCACGCCGACGTTACCTCATTTCATCTTCCAAATCCTTTTCCCAATCCCGCTCCTCCACCACAAGCCCACCAACCTCACCCACCTGCACCTCTCGAATCCCCAAACCGAACCCCAAAAAACCATCACACCAGACAAGAACGCATGCAGCCCGCCAACCACCACCGCCGACACACCCAACGGGCAATATGACGACCCCAACCTTTTCCTCGTCCACCTTCATCGACTGCTACGCAACCCTCAACATCAAGCCGCACGCCGACCTCAAAGAGATCAACAGCGCCTACAAGCGCCTCGCTCTGAGGTATCACCCGGACAAGACCGAGGGAGGAGATGCCGAGACTTTCCAGAAGGTGAGTGCAGGTGCAGCTGGCTTGGTTTACGCAGATACGCAGATATACCCACACCCACACCCAAACCCAGACAAAACACGCTTTTACTTTACTCGTCTTTCCCCCTCCCCTCTTCTGTATATCAGATTACCCTTGCCTTCCTCTCTTTCACCCCTCATAAAAGCCATTATCGGAAGCTAAACTCACCAATACGTAAACAGATCCTCTACGCCGTCGAAACCCTCCGCGACCCCAACCACCGCGCCATCCACGATGCCGCCCTCGATGAACACCGCTGTCGCAACCTGAAATACACCGCAGACGCGGGGGCCTTCTTTCGTCGCGGCTACCACCGTCACCACCACCACCAGCAGCAGCAGTATCGTGCCGATGACCCATATAACCAAAGCCGATACGAGGCCTCTTACCGCCACAGCGTGCACATGGATCCCACGGCGCCGGAGTCCATTGAGATCATGGAGCAGATGCGTCGGGACCGGGAGTATAGCGAGCAGCTGGAGCGGGAGCGGGAGCGGGAGACTCGAGAGGCGGAGGCTGCTGCTGCTGCTGCTGCCGCCGCGGGGTTGTTTCAGGAGGAGCAAGATGGGGAATGCGAGGGGTATGACCCGGGTCGGGTGGTGGATGATGAGTTGAGTTCTTGGTCTTCTTCGTCGGAGGAGCCGATGGGGTATTATGATGAAAGTGGGTGTGTGGTGACGAGGAAGAAGGATAAGAAGAAGAAGCAGGCAAGGAGGAGGGGAAATGCTGGTGAGGGGGTGAAGGGGGTGGAGGAAGAGGTGAACGAGGAGGAAGAGGAGGAGGAAACTTGGATTGGGTATTCGGATAAGACGGCTTATTGGTCGGAGGAGAAGCAGGCTAAGGATCAGGCTCAGGAAGAGAGGCGCGCCAGGTGGATGGCTAGTCTGTTGGATCCGGATGCGGGCTGGAAGTCTATGAAGTATTCTTGGGGACGGCAGCAGGAGGAGAATAAAGAGGAGTCTGAGAAGGATTTCGAGGAGGAGTGTGACGAGGAGTATGAGGGAGAGGAAGGTGAGTATGAAGAGGGGGAGGAGGAGGAGGAGGAGGAGGAGGAGCAGTCCGACGAAGAGGACAGTGCTGACCTCCTATCAGAGGGTAAATCCGATGGGCAGGAGAAAAGCACCTCCATGGGTAACCTGATTGATCTCGAAGACGACGCCAATGGCCACACAGAGATGCCCACTGTGGCCAGCAAAGGAAGCACCAAGTCTGCCACTGAGCTCGTCCCTGAAGACCACCATAAGTCGGCCGATCTGTTGGTCTTTGTGGATGACAAGAACTCACAGGCTAGTAAAGCGGACAATGATCTGGGAGAATGCGAGGACAAGGTGGATCTGGATGGACAGCCAGGCCGTGCGCAAGGACACAAAGACGCTGGCTGGAAGGAGAACGAAGAATGTGTGAGTCTAGCCGGCTTCTCCTGGTTTTAGCAAGTCTTAAGGACCATACTAAGTTTGAATTAGTATGGAACCCCCGGGGCCGAAGTCTTCCACGAGATGTTCTGCAAAGAGGATATTGGCCCGAAGCGGAAAGAAGTATGCATGTGTGGAAGGGTCGAGGGTATCGCAGACGATGAAGAGGACTGGTTCCGCTATCCTGGGCAGATGCCCTGGGGCATGAGCTTGCCAAACAAATTCTCCAAACGCAGCACCACCGACAACGACGACAACTATGACGATGAAGACACAGACGAAGAAGAGGACAACTCCGAGGGAGATGCAATCGGCGGTCACGAAGGAGAAGACCTTGAAGACGACTCGACAGTCCACAACTACAACCACAGCCCATACATCAACCACAACGATCACGATCACGATCACGATCACGATCACACCCAACCCACACCAAAGACCTCAAACACCGCCAATGGCTACATCAACATTCCCTCCGAAATCAGCTTCCACTCCGAAACCTACCACTTCTACGATACAAAAGCCGAGCACCCAGCCGCCGCACAGCAATCCGATTCCGACTTCGTGACCGCAAACGAGGACCCGGCCATGTCGACCGACTCCCTAACCCGGCCCGCCAACATCATCGCAGCACCCCCACACGGCCTCAGCGCCTACCTCACGCCGCTGCTCCCCTACTTCGAGTCCAAGCTTAACCGAAGCGACGGCCGCTACACCCCGGACGACATGGTCGTCGAATGCCGCGGGATCATCTTGGAGACCTTCTGCGGGTGGATGGAAGGCGTGCGGCGTACGTTCCGGGATGCGGCGACGCGTGGCTGCAACGACGAGGGTGAATGCCTGCATCTGGGTTACTGGGACAAAGCCTATGGGCAGGCGGAGTGCAAGGTCTGCGGGCAGTGGGAGCCGATTTTTACACTCACCTGCCCCGGTTGCGGGCTGGAGGCGTGCGTGGCGTGCAAGTTTACGGCGCCGGCTACTTGGAGTCGTGGTCAGGTGTCTGGTAGCCTGGAATGAAATCTTACCGTGGTGAACATTTGATGGAGCTGAAATGACGAAGAGAGAGAGGGATTTGGCATGTAATTCTTGATATGGACCAGGTTTTTCTTCGACGCGAACTCTTAATCGATCAATCTATCTATCAAATCTGAATACGACCAGCTCACGATTCCCATTCTCACCAACAATGTACCTCTCGTTTCCGTAGATCTTGCCTCGGCCAGTGAGCTCAAATGCCTCATCCTGCATGAGTCTGGTGTGCGAAGTAGGGGTTTGAATGCTCAGAAGCATCCGCATGTCGAACGGCCACCGGATCGACGACATATATAGACAATACCCCACTTGGGCTTTCTCGTCGTACGCTTCCGAGACAATAGCATAGGATGGCTCATTCCATGGAGAGGACCTAAGGGGACCCGTCTGCAAGCTACAGTTGCCGCGGTAAGGGGGCAGGGAGACATCCACCGCTCGTCTCCAAGCAGGGCCATCTCCGACCAAGGGGATTGTAGTCACCCGCACCTCAGTGGTCCAGTCCGCTGGGCCCCTTCGTACCTGCGGCTCTGGACATCGACTTTCGATTATTTCTATCGAATGATCATCGTCCGTGATATTCAGACACTGCACCCCGGGGAGGCCTCGTTGGCGCACAGAATAGAAGCCCAGCTCTCTGAAGCCGAACCGAGAGACGATCGGGGGCCCTTGGTCCTCGGCCTCCTCGCGCAGCCGACCCGTAGGATCCAGGGAGGGCCGGTACGACGACGGGGCGGAGATGTCCCAGACCGAGAGCGACTCGATCGGGGCATCGTCGTCGGCCGTGTACAGGCTGCGGTTCGGCTGCCAGATGTAGATCGCATAGTGCGTCTTGCTGTGGGTCGAGTAGAACCGGTCTCTCTCACTTAGCGGATGGCCGAGGAACATGATCTTCCACTCGTTGCGGAAGGTGATGCTCCAGGTGCCGGTCGATGGCGACTGGGTCACGTCGAACGAGGAGGCGAAATGCCGATGCACGCCGTCGCTGTCGTTGAGCCAGTGGAAGGCCTTGGGCTCGGCCCATTCCACCACCAGCACCCGCTTCTGCAGGCGGAGGCGCCGGATGACTTTGCCGGTGATGATGAAGGGCACCATGAACCGACGGCTCGTGTCCAGGTCCATGAGCACCAAGCAGGCATGGTCCGCACTCGGATACACCACCACGCCTTCCTCGTAGGACCAGAAGGACTCGGAGAATAGGCAGTCCACGCGCTGTACGAGTTGGCTGGCGTGGGTCTCCCACGGCTGGACTGGGAACCACTCCCGCTCGCCCGTGACGCCAAAGTCGTCACATAATCTATACTTCTGTACGGATTGGGGTTGGCCGCGACGCAAGTGGTCGTATCGAGAAGCAATCCCGTCGAAGAGTTTGCGCCAATGATCGTCCTCTGCGGCTGCGGGCGGCGAATCGTCCGTGTCCGTCTCGTGGTCGAGCTCCCGCACCTCTCGAGCTCGAGGGAAGAGCTGTCTCAGCAGCGGGATGAGGTACAGAGGACTACTGAAAGCCTGATTCCATAGTTTGCAGACCCGACGACAAGTGATGATGTCTCTAGGCGTAAGCTGATTGAAGACCATCCAGAAGATCTCGCGGGGTAGAGCTGTCAGAGTTGTCGTGGTGCCCTCGTACTCCATATCTGCAGACATGGTTTGACTGGCACTTGCGGGGTTACGAGATGTCGTGTGATCATGGAAACACGGAGATGTGAAGATTATGGTAATGAGACAATGATTGAGCTATGCTCAAATAAGGTCGACGACATTTAGCCTAGCCATGGAAGCGTCATGCAAGGGTGCAAGAGCGGGGAAAAGTGCATTTGAGCCTGCAGGGCAAATTGTTTGTTGGTGGTTGTTTGGGTGGTGTTTACTTCGGAGATCCAGAGACTCGCCAGAATGAATGCGGGATGACAGTAGTGTCCAGCTCACCGCCTGCTCTATCAAGCAATCTATCTGACAGTTCTGCCCGTCAACCCTTCCCAGATTCAGAGGCGGTGGGAAGACACTCCCTGTGTATACATACATGGAAAATCAACCAATTAATCCAAGTCAATGTCACATGCCAAGAGCTTCAGGACACCTTGCTTCTATCTTCCTTCTCCTTCCCCACGTTGACTGTCGTCTAGAAAATGCAGTACATCTCCTAGACTGCTGAACTTGTATCATTCATCTAGTCTGGTAGTCAAGACAACCGCACATCCTCACAATGCTCCCGCCCAGCTCAGCTGTCTTCCTCGCCGCGTCGCTGCTGGCGGCTTTGCCCGTCCAAGCCGATGGACTCTACACCAAGAAATCCCCTGTGCTGCAGGTGACGTCCAAGAACTACGACCAACTCATTGCCCACTCGAACCACACATCAGTAAGCTTCCATCGTGAACCTCACTTCCCAGATTAATCCCGAAACTAACACATCTCCCACCCTCACAGATTGTAGAGTAAGCCAATCCTCCTCTTCATACTTCCCCTCCCAACCCACCACCACCACCACCACAATTCGCCTTTCTAAACCCCCTCAACCCTCCAGGTTCTACGCCCCCTGGTGCGGCCACTGCCAAAACCTCAAGCCGGCCTACGAGAAAGCGGCCAAGAACCTCGACGGCCTGGCCAAGGTGGCCGCCATTAACTGCGACGAGGACGCCAACAAGCCCATCTGCGGCCAGATGGGGGTGCGCGGCTTCCCGACGCTAAAGATCGTGACCCCCGGCAAGAAGCCCGGCAAGCCGCGCGTGGAGGACTACCAGGGGGCGCGCACCGCCAAGGCCATCGTCGAGGCCGTCGTCGACCGCATCCCGAACCACGTGCGCCGGCTGACCGACAAGGATCTCGATAGCTGGCTCGCTTCGACCTCGGGTGCGGCAACCCCCAAAGCGATCCTCTTCACGGAAAAGGGCACCACCAGCGCGTTGATCCGCGCGCTGGCCATTGACTTCCTGGGCGCGATCCAGGTCGCCCAGGTGCGGAGCAAGGAGACGGCGGCCGTGGAGCGATTCGGGGTCACGGCGTTCCCCACGCTCGTGCTGGTGCCGGCGGGTGGCAGCGAGCAGGATGCCATGGTCTACGACGGGGAGCTGAAGAAGGCGCCGCTCGTCGAGTTCCTGAGCCAGGTCGCGGCGCCGAACACCGATCCTGCGCCCGTCTCGGCTCCCAAGAAGAAGAAGGAGGCGCAGAAGAAACAACAAGAAGAGGAGGCCCAGCCCGACGACGAAGCCACAATGGCACAGGAGTCGTCGGCGGCCCCTGCGGCTCCTGTTCCCGCGCCTCAGGTTGAACTCCTGATGACCCCGGAGGCCCTTGCCGCCGCTTGCCTGGCGCCCAAGTCCGGCACTTGTGTGTTGGCCCTTCTTCCTGAGGAACAAGAGCCACAACAACCGGACGAGAAGGAGAGCTCGGCGGCGGCGGCGGCGCAAGTCGCTCTGGCCAGTTTGTCCGAGGTGGCGCACAAGCACGCGCTGCACAAGAGTAAGCTGTTCCCTCTGTACGGTGTCCCGGCCACCAACAGCGCGGTTAAGTCCCTGCGCGCGGCGCTGGAGCTGTCCGAACAGGACCTGGAGATTGTGGCCGTCAACGGTCGGAGGGGGTGGTGGAGAAACTACGATCCCGCCGAGGCTGATTACAGCGTCGAGCGCGTCGACGCGTGGGTGGATGCCATCCGGCTTGGGGAGGGGTCCAAGCAGAAGTTGCCCGAGGGTGTCATCGTGGTGGAGGAGGCCCAGGAAGAAGAGAAGCCCGTGGTCGCCGAACATGACGAGTTGTGAGATTAATCAGGGATATCCTCAATGTATGTGTGTATTCACCTCAGTAGCGTTACCAATGGTGTTTTCAATTAGGTAGGAAACATGTTTTACAAGTTATCGCAAGCGTATGAGAAACGAGTCGAAAAATTCACACCTCAATAAGAAGTCCTCACAAGAAGTAAATTAGAATATATTCCAGTCGAAGAGATAAATCAAACAGCAATCAACACAAAGTTTACAATAGATAGTATAGTCATTACACATGTCCGTCGCCTCCTCTTCCCCCCATACTGCATCATTATCATCAAAATAGGTAGATGAGAGATAGCTCATGAACCTCACTCATGGGGCCCATACCTATAATTATAGCTTGTAGCCCAATTCCTCTCGTCGATCGTCCGTCAGGCGCCCCCATTCCAACAGGAGCCTGAAGAAGTAGACTTCCATATCTTCCTTCCGCAGTACCTGCGCCGCCCACTTCCGGCCTTCCTCTGCGATCCATTGACCCTCGATATCGTGGGGCTTGAGGAGCGCTCCCTTCTCAGGAGTGGAGGAATGGTCGCTAGATTCGACGCCCGAGAAATATGCCAGGGTACTCCACAAGCCGTGGAGGCGGACATCTACGGGCACAAAGTGTAGCCAAGGGGTGATGCGCGTTTCGAACCATTGGCGGAACAGCCCCGTCTTAAAGGGGAGGCTGTGGCTCTGCATGAAAGGAAGGAAGCGGCCGCTGAAGCCGGCGCCGTCGGCGTCGAAGAGATACCGGTTCTGCCAGTGAGCTTGAAAGTCCACTCGCCCCGCCAGTCCGAATTCGGCAGTCTGGTCCTCACAGTCTTGGTGCCTGCAGCGGACAATCGGGTCGAGAATTTGGACAGCTGTGTCGAGGTGAAGGGAGGAAGACGGAGAGGTGCCAGGGAGGATCTGGTAGCGGTACGAGTCGGTGGTGTTGTCCGCTGTGGGCAGGAAAACGGAGACGTGGTTGTGCGTGTTGTTATTGATTAGGTGGGTGAGGCGTTGTCGCGGCATGCCTTTCCATTCGCCTGAATGGCTGATACCTTCAGAGGTACTGCCGATCCAGAACAAGGTGTTCGACTTGTCGGTATAGTTTGCATCCGGGTAGTCTGTCGACGGTTTGTATTCGATCTTGTCGACGTAATTCCACGGACTTGGGAAAATGATGTCGCCAAATCCGGCAATCGCGCTCTGGCTGAAGACTGGAATAAGTTCTTGGGAGACCTTGAAAGAGGCTGGTGACATGAAGAAGCCGTGAAGATGGGCCAGGTCCGGCTGGTGGCAGATATCAGTCGCCAGGGCCCAGTCAGATGGGAACTCGCCCAGGGAGTGTGGCCGAATACAACTGATGCAGAGATGGCGGCGGTCCCATATGCGTTGAGAGCGTGCCTTAGAAGATGGAGGACAAGTCGCGCTCACGTAACGGTCGAAGATATTCTTAAATGAACTGTCAACGAACATAGTGTCGTGCGTTTGATCAGCCGGCTCGATCGGCAGCCATTGGTCGCTACGGCCGGTTGACCATTCATTTTGTATGCGTTCGTCTTGTAGCACGGGATGTGAAAGGGCTTGGTCTTTGAGGGCGCTCATTTCCTCCCAAGGTACAGCCACCCGGGGCTCATCGTTCAGATTGAAAGCCAGATCCATGTCTGGCAGGTGTTCGGCGAATTTCTCGATCATCTTGGCGGCACTAATGACCATCCAAGCATGGGTAGGCTTGATGCCCTCTTGAACTCTGGCCGTGCCATTCCGAATGCTGATAGCGCCGATTTCATTGTATGGGTTTGTGGCTAATTTTTGCGTCATATCTCGGATTGCTGCCGGGGATACCGAGCGGAACGGAAGCAGGTTGTTGTGGATCTCATCGAAATCATCGATGACAAGGGAGGATTTATTCATGGCGAATTCGTACCATTTGTCGAAGTTCCTAGTTCAACGTCAGTTGAGGCATGCACCAACGAGTAGGATTGAACCTACGGTGGCGGATGTTGGTTATATTGTAGGCGGTACTGCGCGACAGCATCAGCCAAAGTTTGACTGCTATTGGCCCTGTGAAGCCATTTGTCATGGTGCTGCCTGCCCTCATAAATAAGCAGATCAATGGGATGCAGATGGGCGACACTGCCTTGCTGAGTCACGAAGATAAAGCCAATCCCTGCCATTACGGTCAAGGCAACGCGCAAGGTGATATTAAACCGATAAAGAAACTGCGGTTCCTCTTCCGAGACCGTTCGCGCGTATAGAAACGATAACCCCCCGAGGTAGTTCAAGAGTAGAGCGGCGAAAGCACGAGGAGCAGTGACGAGTGGGAATGGCTGATGTCCATCGAAAAGGGTTGCAGTCCAGGTATAATACAAGGAGACAAAGCCAGCCAATACTGAGAGCCCGACAACACCATAGTGAGGGATCTGACTGAGTTAGCAAGTCCGTATTGCGCGGCCCGATGCGATAAACTTACTAGCTGAGATGCTGAGACTATGACGCAAGCCACCAGCGCACCCTGGCCTATAGCACTTCGCAGGAAATGAGGGTTGACAAAATCATCGCTGCCATGAGACCTGACAGTAATGTAGGCTATAATAGCACCCCAGAATGCAGCCACACCCTTGAATTCCGATATGGTCAGATTCCTATATCCACAGACAGGGATATGAATGACTCACGAGTAAACTGAATCCCCAGGACACTAAGGTCTGTTTCCTCCTGCCGTCACGAGGTCGCGCACCTTCATTAGACAGCTCCGCAGCACCGATCAAAATCATAGAGTCGAAGATGGCGCTCAAAACTCTCAAAGTGTGTAGGCGCGGATACTGGCCTGAAACAGTGGCGCAGATATACGTCGATTCGCGCCCTTGATCGAATGCCATCGCCAGATATCCGCTTGCCAACAGGCTAGCCGCTGACGCGACATATCTTAGTTGACTGCGGAAGACGAAGTAATGAATGCGACTGGCGATAGTCGCTACCATGCGAAGTTGCGCATTTTGTGGGCTGTCGGGAGCGGTCCATTTCGTAGATGATCGGCCCCGTTGGTTGCGCCAGTAATCATAAATAGCAATGAAGAAGGGTATCGCATACTAGGATCAGAGCATTGATGTTAGTCCTGACGTCTGCCTCTGTTCTGTATGCTGGCGCACCTACCGCGTAGCCATCCGGCGCGCATTCGATGTTTGCAGTTATCTGTCGATATAGACCAACGCGGGCACAGCCAAGCACAGAAACCAGGCCGATTTTGAACCATCGGGCCAAGTTGCGCGTTTTTGAAGGAGTGATACTGCTACTGCTGCTCTCCAGGCTAATAGGCGACGAAGGTTCGTCGATTGCCTGTTCGCGCTCTGTCAAAGGTATGACGCTGTACTTGTGCACCGAGGATGACGGAATTGGGATTCGGTTGATGAAGCGACTTAGTATCAGAAGGGAGAATGCAGCGATGGAACATGTTATCACTGCGGTGTTGAGGGGATGATCTGAGGCAAGTGTTAGCGAGCCGGGCTGTGGCTGCGATGCGCCCCGAGACGTCCAACTACAGGCATTTCTCTATTCAATGGACATGACTGACCGAAAGCAAAAGTAGTGTTGTAAGACGTTGCGAGGAATGTGCAGCTGAGCAGAAAGATTCTATTGTACGTTGATTAGCACGCACAAGACCCAGGAAAGGAAATCGATGGGAGGGCGAGAAGTACTGAACTCACCCCACAGAGGCCTTGAGCCCCGTCTCAGCGGAGAAGTGTACCATTCCGAATCAGACAATCATGAGTCTGCAAGTCGCATAGCCATTCTTACATGGACTGGTGGTTCATTTCATGCAGCACATAGAAATCATGATTTGGATTGGAACCACGCGAAAGACAAGTTAGGTTCGACAAGGGGAGGGGAGGGGAGGGGGGAAGGGGACTTAGGAAAAGAGAACGCGTGGAGGGAAAAGTGACGAGGGGACGAGACCCAGTGTGGCCAAGAGGTTTCGGGCTTGGGTGTTTCGGAGACGGAGAAGAACAAGAAAAGAGGAGAATGGCTGGGGCAATCCCGCACGGGTAAGAAGTGGAGATGTCAACACTTTCTGGAGGGGATTTTTGTCTTTTCTTTTTTCTAGGAGTTCTCGAGTATGTCTCCTTCCAATCTGCAATCCTTGGGGGAATAGGAGAGAGACCAAGGGGGGTGAAGGAGGGGGAAAGAGAGGGGGAAAGAATTGAAGGAGGAAGAGGAGGAGGAGGAGGAGGAGGAGGGGAAATGAGGAAGAGGCCGAGAAGAAGGAATCAAGAAGACTAAGAGCAAGGGGAAAAGCGACAAGAAGAGAGACTACTGATGCCAAGCATGGTCTCGAAGGTTGGGGGTTGCGTCAAGCAAGCAGCAAAAGAAGTCAGTAGACTCGTAGAACGAAGCGCAACTTGGAAGAGATTGAAAGTTGTTCTGGCCCATGGATCCGAGGGTTGCAGTGCTTGCTGTAATTTAGCCTTTAGTCGTGTATGGAGTAGTCTCTTTTTCACGCACGTCAGCACCGGGACTGGTATGTAACCATGTCAGTTCAACTTCCGTCTGTCTCCTATCATGATTTCGTTCATTCTAGCGCCAGGGTCCAGCCCATTCACCACTCCTACTGATCGGCGTAATCCCAAGACAAGTCCACGCGTCTGGCAATGCCAGTCCAGCTGCCACTATCCCCAACCGGGAATCTGCTCCTGTGATCATCTTCAGCTTCATCGATCGACTCACTGCCATCAATACATATATGACATGGTTGCAATCTTGTTTGATGCGCCTCTCCTGGTTTACACATGTACTCATACTATCAATCGATGGCTGATCTGGATTGGGAAGCACGGGCCCTAAAATAGCAACGGGTCAATTTCCCCTGCAGCTCCACCACCACCCAGTACTGGGGCTGAATGGCTGGATGATATCTTCCTGGACTGTCACAGAATCGAAAGTGATTGCCTCAGCATGTAGTCTCCCTGTGCAATGTTCCCAATTGACTCTTCAACAATGAGTAATTGACACTGCCATCATGGGATGTATTGACCTGTTTGACCTGTTTGAGGGGCAGCAGCCTTGCCAAGTATCACGTGAAGTCCCGTTCCCGCAGAGCCTGAGTGTAGAGTCAACTATACCACTTTGGGACTAGTCGTACTCAG